CACACTTATGCATAAATACACACCTATACATGCTCGTATGCTGTATATGTCGTACCTAATAGACATGCACACTTCTAGGTTTGAAGCAATGAACATTTTGCTTATTAATGGCCAACTGAGATTTTACATCTTTTCAACAGCCTGTCCTCAAGGGGTTTGATCCCTCGAGGTAATCACTTTAAAAAGTTAGATTATATTAAAACGGTGTATTATTCTCAAAGCTGAAATATGGAATTCGAAAACAATTTGAGTATCCCCTAGAATTTCATTTTACAGAAAACCTAGACTTCAGACCGTTTAACAGAAAACTAGTCAACATTGACTATATTTTAAACCATCAATTTATAATACAATAAAGTAATAACTTGAAGATATTCTCTGCTTAGGGAAAGATTTACCTGCCAGTTTACAAATAGACTATTATTGAAACTGTAACATGTCAGTGGAAGTGTGGGTGGTTGAAGAGCTGTGAGAGGAAGTGTGGGAGGTGTGAGGGTGATGGGAGAGATGCGAGTGAAAGTGTGGGCGGTGAGAGGGCTGTGAGAGGTGGGTGGATTATGTAAAGTGGTGTCAGAGTTTCCGCCAATCCGGGGAACAACTCATAAATTCTGATAGATTAGCTTCAGATAAATCAACAGAAATACCCGCTAACATTCACCGCCACAGACATTTGATATTATTTACCAAGAAAATACATAATAACTTGTATAGCAACTATAGCAGGCGAGCCATAGAACATACAGGACGAGAGTTGCGCAAAAATCATGATTATCTTTGCTCGAGTCAATAGATAATCATACCCCCAAGTGTGTGTTATACAATAATAGAATACACTATTTAAAATGACTGAAATCCACCTTTTTCAGGGTCGACTGATATATATGTGTGTGTGTGTGTGTGTGTGTGTATTTGTATGTATATATATATATATATATATATATATATATATATATATATATATATGTATATGTATATGCTATATATTTTATTGTTATAATAAAAGTCTAAAAAAGCAAAACGAGACCAGCTTTGCTTCAGGTGCCTCATAGACAATATTGGTATTGTAATGTATAGGAATTATCTAGTTCTTTTCGTTGTCTTGTAACTGTTATTATACCTCACAGTGTAGCTGTAAGCAATTTGTACAGTTAATATAAAGAATTAACAAAATTCTTCCCTATAACATTCCACGGAAGAAACGGTGATGGCTGGAGGGGCCCATAGCAACAGTATGGTGGTAACCGCCGCCATATTGGCCCTGATGGACCACTTGCCCGTCCCGCCTCACCTCCCCCCCGTCTACGATTGGAAATAAATTGAAAATAAAAAACTATTTGTCTTATTTTTCTCCCTCATTTACTAAAAAAAAGAGGTCTTATTTTTCTCCCTTCGCCAAAAAACGATTTGTCTTATTTTTCTCCCTTATTCACTAAAAAAAACGATTTTTCATATTTTTTCTCTATCTTATTCACTGTGAAATTTGCAATATGGCACAACGGATTAATTATTAAGGATTATACTGACATTGCACAGTATGATTGTTAGTTATAAACGGACTATTATACAAAAAAATACATTAGGCTATAGACATATCTTAGTGTATCACCGTTTATTCATTGTGAAATTTGTAATATAATAAAAAAAATATTAATAAGGTACAATGTATTTGTGAGATTATAATAATACTAATTTATTCACAAGAAGTTACATTGGATTGATGAGATTACATAAGATTGGAAATTATTGCAGCTTCGCGGTTGCTAGGAAGTTGAAACTGTAGTTGTTAGAAAATTGCAAATGCGAGTTGCACCCTATGGTCTGTGTGTATGTGCAGGGAGATACATGTTAAGCGGCCTTAATAACTATACTTGCATACCTATTTTATGTAAGTAAGGGCACACATATATATACACCCGCACATATTAGTACGTAATTAAAGTATACAAGGTTAGAGAATTCGTCCCAGAATTCATAAATGGTGCACTTAACAGTAATGACGAAGGATGCCTATCGCCTATGCACAAGTAATCCTAAATAATTAACAACTAATTACTTTACAATTACAATAAGAATTAAATGTTTAATTCGTCATGGGGTGAGTTCCAAAGATTGGGTCCCTATATTTCCATGGAGTTTGTTCAGATTTAGTTTGACTCTGGAGAGAGATTTATTTCTGGTGTGGTACTTATGGGGTTCTATTCACCTATCAAGGAAAAGTTTCAGATCAAGATTAGCATTTAGGAATAAGATTTTGTACATGTAAATAGCACATGGGAATGTGTGGAGTGTATGTATAGTATGTTAAGGGGACATAAACAGAGGGGCTGTGTGTTGTCTGAAGAGAGTTAAAGTCCTGATAGCAAATGTTTGCAGAGTAATTATCGCACTTGAGAACGGGCCGGGTGAATAACGATACTTTAGTCACCGATATGAACGTCATAATCATAACTGAACACGTTATGAGACCATCAGTAGCATTATTGATGACATTGCAAATAATTACATTATTTCCAATCAGCAAAAATAATATAATTTCTCAGAAGAAAGAACCATCAGCCTGGTAACGATCCTCCCAGAGTCCGTCAGTGGTCGTCCAGGTCCCGGGCGTTGAGGGTGTGTTTCGGCGCTCCTCAAAAAAGGTCGGCTACACCCCAAACTCCTCGCATTACAAGTAAGGTGAACCCCTGCAGGCATTGCCACGAGTTCTTATTTTTTTTTTTTAGAAAGAATGCTTAGCTTGAATCTGAAAGTGGTATAGTATTCGAATAGTGTATGTAATGTCGCAGAGCCGGCATGGCGAGCATTTCAAATCCTTCCGTGTGTGATAGTGTGCAAGTCTAAAAGCCTATTCAGCTGTTGCCGTGTCTGCTCTGTACCATTTTGCTCTCGTATTGGCATCGTTAGTGATATTTGGGCCGTTTTGAATGTCCTGCAACTTTCATTGTAGTACATAGTCTGCGCCTTGGTGCCTTTATTTTTGATAATTACTTACTTGCTCCCACCTGTTGCGTGCTGAAACTACCCACCGACTGTTCCCCGGGGTCCTGACCCCCGCAGCCAGCAATAGTGTGTTAACATTATACATTGTAAATGTATTAAATTGGTGAAAGTGCTACCTTGGGTAAATTAACTGTAATTTTCAATGGATAGTTTCTGGGAACTATGGCTCCAGAGAAAGTATTTATTATTACACAATAATAAATATATCCTTGTTACAGTGACAAGTATAATATACTAAATTTCATTGTTTGGTGTGGTAGTCTTCATGTCATATAGTAGTTACAGACATTAACTAGTTCATATTGTATTTGATTTAAGGATCAATATTCTTAAGCTAGATTTCCTTGCAGTAATCCAGAAATCGGTCTTGCCTGCATACCAATTGTCCAGATTTATTAACCCATTTATTAAACGGTTAGCAACTGTAAAGTTCCAGTTGCTAACCGTGACATCACTGTGAACGCGGCCACGCTTTCAGACTTACTGTCAGCTCCTGCTCCACCCATTTCTCCAGGTGTTGCTGACCCTCTACCAGAGCCAGTGGTGAATTCGGCTGCAATGGACCCTTGATCTGACCCTCTAGAGGGCCTAGACTATGAAGACTTCTGCTGCAGTACCTACTGCTGCTACTTAACCTTAAAGAACTCGACCTCCACGATCTACCACCTCTGCTCTTCACTCGTCTGATGAATCGGATGAGGACGTGTCTGTTCGAACACCATCTCCTTCACGGAAATGCCACTTCTCAGCTGTCGATTTCCTTCACGACACTGCACCAACAACCCCCAACGACAGCCCCACAAGGCCAATAGGAAGTCAGACCACCAAGACCGACAAGCCCAAGAAGACCAAAGATCAGAGTTTGCTCAAATCGTCAAAAACGAAGACCACCACTAAGGAAATGATTTAACATAAACATCTGAAATCAACCCTCGACTGTCAGCTGCTTGCGATCCCAGCCCATGTGTGTGTGTACTGCAAATGAGGCCCCACTCAATCCTACTTCACTACTAAGTTCAAATCCGCGGTGGTTGGGCCACCGATCTTTCATCTCCCCTCTTCACCTCGTCTCCAGTTCCTCGCTCAAGATTTCTGCATCCTCGCCCCGTTCTTCCATCCCCTGCTTGCCAACTCTATGGACATTTTAAAGTTTTCAAGCTCGTCAGTGTTTTACCTCACTTAGTATCGCGTTCCAGGTTAGTCTCTTGAAGTTTAGCTGTATGTGGAGAATCCCCCCCCCCTCCCTCCCAGTTGTTGCGTTTCTCCCCCTCCCTTGGTTCCCCGTATCTGAACTAGTTAAGTGTGTGGGGAAAGAGACTATTTCAGATTTGCTTTGAATCGAAGGTTGGGTTAGGTAGATTGAATAGAAGGTTGGTTTATTTGAGGCAGGCATGATGCTGTGTGTGGCATTATAGCAGACCCAAACTAATAGCCTGTGACGCTCCTCTACGTGCCTTACTTTATTTTAAATTCAGCAGGCTAGATGTAATTCTAGTAATGGGTAACTAGTGAAATTGTTTATAAACCAGAATGTTAATCTTTATGATGTCCATCCATGGTGTTAGTCTTTGTTTTTGGCAAATTCAATAATTTGGCATGTTTTCAGTATAACGAGTCGTAATTTGCAACTCCAAATATGTGCAGTGAGCCAGAATTCGGCTCAAACATGACGCTCATCAGTCAGATTTCCCATATTTTGAAAACTAAGGGGGTTTGGGTAAATCATGACCCATTGCCGTTTTCACCAATTCCAATATTTTTGGTATTTTGAGCTGAATTCTAGCTCGCTGCACATATTTGGAGTTTCAAATTACTCGTTATACCGACAATATAGCAAATGTGTGAATTTGCCATAAATTTGCCAAAAACAGACTAACAATATGGATGGAGATCATAAAGATTGCCTTTGTTTTTGGCACATTTATGGCAAATTTATCCCACATGACTTGGCACCCAGTTAAGTACCCGTCGGCCGTGTCGTTTGTTTTCATTAATGATATGACCTTTGTGATCAGATGTGTGTTCTTGTTGCAATGTTTCAATGGCGGTTCTCGAATCTGTGTGTATGATAACATGTTGGCGGTGTTCAGCAAAAGCATGTTCCAAAGCCTTTTGAATGGCTAGCATCTCTGTTTGTAAAGTCGAACATCCATTTGAGAGCCAACTATTTAGTTTCCTGCTTTAACTGCTGCTCCGGTTTCTTGTCCCTGCTGGTCTACTGATCCATCTGTGAAGTGAAGCTGTCGGATGCCATGTTTGCTCCTATATGCATCTGTGCAATGTTACGTAGCAGATGAGGATAGTCTGGTTCTTTTTTCCTTCAATAACCATAATGTTAGTCTGCTGGAGGAGATTCCCAAGAGGCTTGCATAACAGCAATGTTTTGATTTATAATATACTGATTAAAGTAAATCAGTATATTGCTTATTACTTATATTAAATTATATTACTGATTAAAAGTAACTAACGGAATGTAAAACATTGGAGCGCAAACTAGCACAGCACGAGAAATTGAAATAAGTTTATTCAGGTAAAATACACACAAAGGGATGAGGTAGCTCAAGCTATTCTCACCCCGTTCAGTACATCGTGTTAATACATACATAGACACACATCACAAGCAATAAACGTATTACCGAACATTCTGAGAGATAAACATATACATTAACTAGCACAGCACGAGGATATGGTCGTTAAGCACTGTGACGTCACCAATGACGCTGTGTTGGGCAAGAAGGTCAGGAGCGGCCGGCGCCGCCTCAGTGTCGGGCTGACAGACAGCAGACGTAGTTCCTTAGGCGGTGTCCCGCTTCTTATATCATTTGCAGCTACACCGGTCATCAGGTAAGGTTACCGTGGACTTTATTGCTCAATGTATTAACTCGTATAAGGTGCAGGTGTCGATATTTAATTATGGTGTGACCTGGTTGTTGGCGTAGCGTAATGTGGGCTCTGTTATGTGATGCCTTCAGAGGGACGGTGATATTTGGGTGGCGTATGATAGAATTGGTAAAGTTATTTACATGGAAACCTAGTTGACGTATCCTAACAATAGTATTAATTAGATTCGTTTAAGATTTTGCCGTACAGCATTAAGTGGCTGGTCCACAATTTTGTTTAAATCTGCATTAGAACGGGCAGTCTAAATATCTGTGCAGTACGTAAGGTATTTAAGTATGTTGGCCTGTTTAAAATGTAATGGGTTAATGAGTAAAGGATGAGGGTGTAAAGGATAAAAATTACTGTAGAATTTGGGGATTTGTAGCTCAAAGTTTTAGAGCCAGCTGTCATATTATTTAAATGGCTTGTAGGTACTATAAGGCACTAAATGTACAGATTATTCCTGTGGCGTAGCGTTGGTAGTAGTTGGTGGCAGTTTATGGGTATCTTCTGTGGCTTAATGGTCTGAGGGTGTTTTCACAGCCCCCCCCCCCCCCCCGGGCTCGCAGAACTAGGCTGCTTCGATGAATCTTGACGCTTTTAAAACTTAATGGTATTAAACCCCCTTCTTTTTTATTTAACAGGTGGGTGTGGATTTCTGTAATGTAATTCGCGGAACCAATTTCATCTGAATTACTTTGGTTAAGACCGGGTATTTGGTAAGTTATGCAGGTTTGAATTTCTTCAGTCTTGATAGCTGTAGTGTCCATTGCAGCTAGTAAACAAATTTTCAGGTACAGTAGTTCTAATAGTTTGTAGTTGGGTAGAAATTGAAAATTATATTTTGGTATTGTATTAAATCTCGGCCCTTCAAACCCCCCTTCCCCCTACTACTCGGGCAATTTTCCTAGTTCATGTGGTTTCTTCAGTAGTGCTAAAAATGTATTGTAAAGCTTTCAGTACAGTTAATATATATTCAGTGGGGCCGGAATTAGTAAACGTAGAAATCTGCGTGTCTGGGATCACATTGTTTTCCCAGACAGTCAATTTTGTAAGTAATTAAGTGTTGGCATGTCGCTAATTTACGGGCTACTAGTGGACATGCCACGTCTTGTGGGGTCGTAATGTTAATCAGTCATGGTATCGGTAGTCACTAGAATGCGTGGTAATATTGTTTGGAATGGCAACTTAAAAGCTATTAGGACGAATGTATTAAACACATTAAGAATTTAAATTTATTGCTAAAGGTCTAGTATTAAAGTTTGTACCCTGGTGTTGCCCTATATATCAAAGATTACAAAGACACGAGGGTATACAATGTTATACAGAGAAATTATAATTTGTTGAACAAAAATAACCTTAAGACTTTTTCATAAATTTATTTGATACTTTATAAAACATTGTAATGGTATAAATAACTTAATGTTTTTGTTTTTCTAGGGTCTGGCTCGACAATGGCCACGAGTCTTCTTGAGAAACTTAAAGTGAACGGAGGACTAGTCAGTCACACAAGGCACGGAACTAGTTCTGACGTGACGTCGCTGCAAGTCTCGATAGAGGTGGTTGGACGGTGTTCAACACGGGGCGACTGACAACGTTGCAGGAATATCTGAAAGAAAAGGCAAGTTGTTAAAACGTTCAGTTAATATTTACCATTAGCAGGAAACTGTTGGAAAGGATATTCTGCAGAATTATAGAAAGAACGTCTGTGGGACATTAGAAAGTTAGTATTAACTAGTTTACTTGTCCTAGTTATGAGACTTGGGTTTAGGAGGCAGTAAAAATGCCAGTTAAAATATAGAAATTAATGGAATAGGCTACCATAATTAGTAGGGAAATATCGATAGATGAGCCTTGAAGCAGCATGATTCAAAGATAGTGTAAAGGATGAATGGTGTAGTGTTCATGACGTTGTAGTTGGGAGGACCTAATAGTGATCGGTGAAAATAGTTTAGGGCATTATGAATAGTTAACGGGGGGGGGGGGGGAGATGACGAAAACTGTGGAAGGCGTTGCTTCTGCACCACTAGAATTTGCCACTAGAAATATTGAACGTTGAGAGTTTGCAAGAATACTGCAGTGTCATACTGATTAGTGTAAATGTTAGGAAGAATGTACATATTCTTCAGTTGACTATAACGGTAAGTGTTTAGCAGTTTTAATGTCAAACGGTATAAGTTGGTATTCGATGAAGTATGGTTGACGGGCCATTTTGTTAGTGAAAACGTGTAAAAGTAATGTAAAGGGATGAAACGTGACTACTAACGATAACTTTTACAACATCGTAGATTTGTGGTAGAATGATTAGAGAATAGTATGTAGTAGGAAATAGTTTGGTGTGTAGTTACTCTAGCTAGTGTTGGAAGGACAAGTAGAGAAACGTGAATATTGAAATTAATGCAAACATTTTAACTTTACAGACGCAGCACAGAAAATGAAGACGGGTGGCTGTAGCAGTAAGAAGGCCGGTGAAGCATAGACTGCAAAATTGGGAAGAAAGATGCAAAATAAATGAGTTTTAAATCTGTGTATTGTGTACTTTGAAACTGTTCTTAGAACTATAGTCTCTCTTCCCTCTGTTATTTTTAATATCTGGTGTATGGTGTTATGACTATTGTTCGGCTGGTTTTCTAAATTAACAATGTGGCTCCGATGAATGTTGTTCGTATTGGAATAAATATCCCTTAATTATAGACGTTAATGTTTACAGCTGTTGTGTATTCTTTAACGGCTGGCTATAGTTATTCCTACAATGACATGTTTATTGTTGTAACATTGTCTAGGCCCAGTGTATGTGACAGTGGCTAGAATTTGAAAGGTTTGTTAATAAAGTGTTCATATTGGATATGAAGTGTATGAACTACGTCCCAAATGGCTTTAGTCCTCTTGATGTAAAAGTTTGACACAGTAACACTTCGTGGTTAATGTTGTTAAAAGGGTTGTTCCTGAGGGTTTTAAGTGGTGTTGACTGATCACCTTGTTCCTTAAGAACATTTTGGCCCGGTTTGGTGCCTTTCGATAATTGCCTAACCTTAAGAGCATTTTGGTGAAACAGGCTGTACACTGAATGAAGGCAATTGGTTTATAGGGAATATTTGTCAATTGTAATCCCTCACCGAGGTGGTATTAAATACTTATTATCAATAGATGCAACCTTGTGGAATATGAACAACATGAACCTTAGTGTTTTGTTTTACTTTACAATAACATAAATAAGTACCGTCAAAGAAACGTGACGCGTTTTTCTGTTACATTTTTCTTAGGTCAGTTGTATGTAAGTTTTCTAACCATATTTATTGCTGTTTACTTGGTTATAAATTCATCGTATTCGTCTGTTTCTTGTAAAGTGTTGGTGCTTTTAATGTCGGTGTCTCTCTTTACTAGTGTCCCTTGGTGTGTGGTATAGTAGGGGTTTGATAATGGTGGCATCAGTGAAATGTGTATTTTACTACGTATGTGCATCTTGAAAAGAATAAAACAAAATTGAGGGAAGTGTACAGGACAAATGTGTGTAGAACGTTGAAGGGGTTGAATGGTTGGCACATTGTCGTGAAGTCAGCCTGAGAGTGTCCTCAATGTAAATAAAGGTTTTCATAGTAGCAGCAAGTGAAAAGTAATAAGAAGACCTTTCACTCCATGCGACGAAGATAACGCGCAATTTACAAGAATTTTGCGTCGCAACACAATTGGTGGAAAAAAAAACACAACAGACATCATTTAACTACATACGACGAAGATAACACACAATTCACAAGAAATTCGCCTCAAATCACAAGAAATTTTGGAAAAATAAAACGACACGACACGACCGACAGACGACACAACACGACAAACGACGACACAACACGACAAACGACGACATTTCACTACATACGACGAAGATAGCACAAAATTCACAAGAAATTCGCCTCAAATCAAGAAATTTTGGAAAAAATAAAACACGACGACACAACACGACAGACGACGACACAACACGACAAACGACGACATTTCACTACATACGACGAAGATAGCACAAAATTCACAAGAAATTCGCCTCAAATAAAGAAATTTTGGAAAAAATAAAACGACACAACACGACAAACGACGACATTTCACTACATACAACGAAGATAGCACAAAATTCACAAGAAATTCGCCTCAAATAAAGAAATTTTGGAAAAAATAAAACGACACAACACGACAGACGACGACACAACACGACAAACGACACAACACGACAAACGACGAAGATAGCACAAAATTCACAAGAAATTCGCCTCAAATCAAGAAATTTTGGAAAAAAATAAAACGACACGACAAACGACGACACAACACGACAAACGACGAAGATAGCACAAAATTCACAAGAAATTCGCCTCAAATCAAGAAATTTTGGAAAAAATAAAACGACACAACACGACAAACGACGACACAACACGACAAACGACGAAGATAGCACAAAATTCACAAGAAATTCGCCTCAAATCAAGAAATTTTGGAAAAAATAAAACGACACAACACGACAGACGACGACACAACACGACAAACGACGACACAACACGACAAACGACGAAGATAGCACAAAATTCACAAGAAATTCGCCTCAAATCAAGAAATTTTGGAAAAAATAAAACGACACAACACGACAAACGACGACACAACACGACAAACGACGAAGATAGCACAAAATTCACAAGAAATTCGCCTCAAATCAAGAAATTTTGGAAAAAATAAAACGACACAACACGACAAACGACGACACAACACGACAAACGACGAAGATAGCACAAAATTCACAAGAAATTCGCCTCAAATCACAAGAAATTTTGGAAAAAATAAAACGACACAACACGACAGACGACGACACAACGACAAACGACGACATTTCACTACATACGACGAAGATAGCACAAAATTCACAAGAAATTCGCCTCAAATCACAAGAAATTTTGGAAAAATAAAACGACACAACACGACAAACGACGACATTTCACTACATACGACGAAGATAGCACAAAATTCACAAGAAATTCGCCTCAAATAAAGAAATTTTGGAAAAATAAAACGACACGACAGACGACGACACAACACGACAAACGACGACACAACACGACAAACGACGACAAACGACGACACAACACGACAAACGACGAAGATAGCACAAAATTCACAAGAAATTCGCCTCAAATCAAGAAATTTTGGAAAAAATAAAACGACACAACACGACAAACGACGACACAACACGACAAACGACGAAGATAGCACAAAATTCACAAGAAATTCGCCTCAAATCAAGAAATTTTGGAAAAAATAAAACGACACAACACGACAGACGACGACACAACACGACAAACGACGACACAACACTACAAACGACGAAGATAGCACAAAATTCACAAGAAATTCGCCTCAAATCAAGAAATTTTGGAAAAAATAAAACGACACAACACGACAAACGACGACACAACACGACAAACGACGAAGATAGCACAAAATTCACAAGAAATTCGCCTCAAATCACAAGAAATTTTGGAAAAAATAAAACGACACAACACGACAGACGACGACACAACGACAAACGACGACATTTCACTACATACGACGAAGATAGCACAAAATTCACAAGAAATTCGCCTCAAATCACAAGAAATTTTGGAAAAATAAAACGACAACACGACAAACGACGACATTTCACTACATACGACGAAGATAGCACAAAATTCACAAGAAATTCGCCTCAAATAAAGAAATTTTGGAAAAATAAAACGACACGACAGACGACGACACAACACGACAAACGACGACACAACACGACAAACGACGACAAACGACGACACAACACGACAAACGACGAAGATAGCACAAAATTCACAAGAAATTCGCCTCAAATCAAGAAATTTTGGAAAAAATAAAACGACACAACACGACAGACGACGACACAACACGACAAACGACGACACAACACGACAAACGACGACAAACGACGACACAACACGACAAACGACGAAGATAGCACAAAATTCACAAGAAATTCGCCTCAAATCACAAGAAATTTTGGAAAAAATAAAACGACACAACACGACAGACGACGACACAACGACAAACGACGACATTTCACTACATACGACGAAGATAGCACAAAATTCACAAGAAATTCGCCTCAAATCACAAGAAATTTTGGAAAAAATAAAAAGACACGACTCTCCCCCACTCCTGCAGTATCCCCCATACTCCCCAACTCTCCCCCACTATCCCCATACTCAACCCACTCCTGCAGTATCCCCCATATTCCCCTACTCTCCCCCACTCTTGTAACTCTTGAATTCTGCGACGCAGAATTCTTGTAAATTTTGAGTCATCTTCGTCGCATGGAGTGAAAGGTCTTCATATTACTCTTCACTTACTGCTACTGTGAAAACCTTAATTTACGTTAAGGACACTATCAGGCTGACTTCACGACAATGTGCCATGCATTCTACCTCTTCAACGTTCTTTACACATCTGTGCGGTTCACTCCCCCCCTCCCCTAATTTTGTTTCACTCTTTTCAAGATGCACATACGTAGTTAGATAACGTTTCACTGATGCTACCCTCATTATCACTCCTATACCACACACCGACATTAAAAAACACCAACA